TTCCGTACCTCTACCTCAACTCACTTCCTTAACTTTTATCGCCCACCAACATCTGTTATACTTTTTCTGTGCGCCCTTCTTCTACACTGTGACTGTTGAAACCTTGCGCCATCGAAAATTGCTGCTTAGTTTTCTGACAGCCAACGCCCATTTTAATGTTGCCAACGGCATATGAACATCATTAATGGCGACAACAATAATAGCAACAGGATAAGGTATTCCTACATACATATGTGCATATATAGGTACATGTAGCAACAGCAGCATATGAAACACATACTCAAGGTAATCTAAGATGATTCTAATTTCTAATCTCCGTGTGGAGTTTAAAATATATGGGGAGAAGCAAACAACGCTTATTCTTAGAAAATAAGGACATGCAGGCGATTACAATCGCATACCATTATTCCAATGTAACTTTATAACTATAGGTATTTATGTATAGATACATATCTGTGTGTATATTAGCCTGCAAAATTTTATGTTTGTTTAGAGTAGGTGTCCGTTGCGTTTGTAGCTTAGTTAGCAACGAAAAGGTTCTAAACTTGGTCTGACATTAAAATACTTTCCATACAAACCATCTGCTTTTCGGAGCTGGAGTATAATCTTCTTCTTGTTCTGATTTGGCGCTGTAACCGCCTAAGAGATTTTGGCGAGTTCACCAAAGCACGTCAGTCTTTTCTGTTCTGTTCCAACTGACGACAATTAGAAATGCCAAGTAAAGCCAAGCCCTTCTCCACTTGGTCATTTTTTATTGAAATATTTTTCAATAGGGGACTTTCCTCGTTTAGACATTTCACGTTTAAAGCTATTTTAGACCTTTTTCATTTGATACCAAATTTGTTTAATTTTTATAAGCGGTTTTTTCATTATTAGGAANCAATTTATGTACGACTTAAAGCTAGGCTGGCTCTGCGGGCTGGCTCCATATTAACGAGCTCCTCTGTGGGCAAAACAAAGCATTTATATATACCAGCGGTTGGTAGCGGCATTGTTTTCGCCCAAATGTTTTGCGTTGGATTATACATTTCAACTAAGCCTTTGTAATTATTTGGTAAGAAACCACCGACGGCCAACAATTGTCCATTGAATGTTATGCCGTTGATGCCATGTCGTGCGGTAATCAATGAAGACACCTATCAAATTTTAAATTATAGTTGAGCTTATTGTTTTCAACTAAGTTTCTGCCCTTACTTACCTTCGTCCAGGTATCAGTATGCGGATTATAGCATTCCACATCTTGACGGAAAGGCGGCAAGTTTCCTGAACCGATTACGTATATGAGACCATTTAATACGGATGCCTGCATGAAAAGTTATAAAAGTTTTAGAATGCATATCTTTATATTGACGCTAGTCAGGAAACCCACTCCACAGTCATGTCGAGCAGTATGCATATCAGCACACTTAGTCCAGGTAGTCGTTCTTATGTTGTAGCATTCCACCGATCTTAGTTGCTGCCAATCCTTATCGAAACCACCGATTATATAAATAAGTTCGCCAATAGCCAAAGCAGTGGCATTACGTCGTGGCATTGACATTTTCCGAAGTAAAGTCCATTTTTTGCCGTTGGTGAGATTGAGTCTAATGAAAAAAGTTTTGAAAAATTTATACGATTTGAAATTACAATTATCTTTCATAAATGTTCTTACTTTTCCATAGTACCGAGGACCCTGTTCGAGCCATCATATCCGCCTATTGCATAAATATTACCATTGACTGTAGCTACACACACACTGCCTCTAGACGTCACCATTGCTGGCAATTCCATCCATGTCTGGGTCGCTAAATTGTATGAATATACACTACTTGTTGGTTGATCTTCCAACAAGCCGCCAACGGAGATTAGTTTTCGGTTTGAGTATGCTAAGCCTGAGTATATTCTAGGGAAAAGCAATACGTCGTATTGTATCCATTGCTTCGCAGATTCATCGCACCGATATATACAACTCTCATTGTCCTGAAAAAAACGTAAAACACTCACTGACGATTTATCTATAATTTGAAGTTATTCAGGCAGGTTCTACATTTTACTTCCAAGTGAATTTCAACCCCGGCCAATTTGAATTTAAAGCGCATTTTATTGAAATTCACTCGGAAGTGCAATGCAGAACCTGCCTAATTATTATGGGCAATATAACCGCGACCTCTGACGTGGTCTACTGCTCTAAGGAAAACTGAGGAAACTTCTTTTAGAACTGCCAAAAAAGACCTAAAGATTTAAGGATACCTATACAATATGAATCAGCGATCAGGGTTATTATCTCGACTTATTCCGGTGCATGGAATCGGCTGTTGCGGAAATCAGAATTCAACACTTTCTTGAACACACACAGAAACATTAAAAAACAGGTTCGACTGATAATGTACATATATATGCGCTAGGAGTGCCTTTTACTGGCGAAATTTCGGTGGTGGTGGACTATATAGATTTCAAAGCTCACCAAAACCACCAGAGGAAATTTCGCTGGTCTCATATGCTACCGATTTCTCGGTATCCAGCAAGGGCATTGATGATCTGTAATCGAAGGTAAGCATCTATTTCTCCAATCAGACTCACTTTTTCGCCAAAAACAGGCGAAAACCTTCTCCTGCGAATTACTCGACAACCATTTGCATATACCGCCTAGACGAAGGTCAAGATGATGTTGGGTATTCCGTCGATGGGTTGCTGCTCCGACTGTGAAAACCCCGAAATCATTACAATAGTAATTGAAATTTGCTTTGATTCTCCGCGTAAACAACTACAAGTGCCACAACATAGCCTTTTGATATGTAGCCGTATGGCACCTTAGTAAGCAGGTACACAGTTACTTGCTTGAAACCGTCTCCTTCGAACTTCACTTTAAATCTACGTCAACCGACTTCGGGACACTCAGAGCCAATATTTAGGGTCGTCGAATTGAAGGAACATGTGAAGGGAAAAAAGTAGAGGCCGCCAGTAGGTTCCCTTCGCCAGGAAAAATAAGTCGTCATCGTGTCCTACGTTGATCTCAGTTGGTGCAGAAAGGAGTTTGGCTATGCAGAATTTAGACAATGTAAAGCAGAAACCCGGTTATAGACTACCCACATACATATATTGCTTTTATTTTTTATAAAACAAACGACGATGCCTAAGAATTTTGGCCACGCTTGCACGGATAGCTAATGATTCGCTGGGTTATTTGAGCTGAAAGGGATTAGTTTAAGATATCCACTTTCGAGACGTCACTATATATATACATATATATATAAAATAAATCTTTATAAAAAAAACTCCCGAACGAATTCTCAAAGCTTCAAAAGTTCTAAATGCCCTGAGAACTAACGAAAATCACATAAATTGCATAGTTTCTTACCTTTTGCCAGTCACACTTTCGTATTGCCAAAATGGATTCCTTCTTTTGAATACTTCTCTCAGTCGCTCTGCGAGCAGACGGTGCCAAAGTCAAATTTTTATTCTTTACAGTTTTGGTTTGATTCACTCGAGCGCCACTATTTGTTCGCGATCCAATTTGGTCCGGCCTGAAATTGTGCAACGGCACGCTACTTGGAGCCTGGCTGGTTGTGATTACTGGGGCACC